GTGGGTTGTTGATTTATCCTTTGCATCTTTTCTTTGTTGTTGTAATACTAATTATTATTGCATTTTGGTACGTCGCTGACAATAAAGAGAAGATGGGTCAAGTTGGCAAGAGACTCATTGGCTGGAAAATTTTGGGCCCAGATTTGGTTGCTTTTCCGTGCTTTACTCAGTGCGAGTGCGATCTCCCCATGATCGTTACTCTCTTGTATTAAAAGGAAGGGTTGGCCCAGAAACAGTGCAGAAAACCTGTAAAACACCCATTTTGGCTATTCATAGCACACAACTACAACTCTTTTCACACACAAAAGTACTAATGAAATCTTATATTCTTGTCTTTTCCTGTTGCATTTCTCTTTATTCATTCTAGTTCCATCTGCAAAAGCAAAAGTGTACTCGCTGAGATCTGAATTCTGAATCTAAACCCATGTAGACGATACGGCTGACTATGGCCATTTGAACCCATGTGAAGACTGGAAAGAACATGAAGACTAACATCTCTATGTTTGATCTCTGATATTCTTGTTCATTTCAATCGGAATCAAATAGGTTAGTTTTAGTTTCTGGTTTTCCAAGTACAATGCCGAGGGCTGTTTACAGGTCAGGTTGGGTCGGTTTATTGGCATTTTCCCAACCGACCTGACCTGGTTGGTTTACCTAGAAATGAAACCGAAACCGACCCGGTACTAAGTAAAACTGACCTGGTCGGTTTGGATTGGTTTGGGTTGATTTTGTGAATGATTCTCTCGGTGTGAACAGTAAAGGATTCAAGTCTAAGAAGCAAAGGCTGGATTCTTAGAAATTAAAAATGATTTGATGGATTAAAACTGAAATTTTATATATCAGAAATTTTATTATAATATATATTTCCGAAATAAAGTTATATATACATATATAATATCTAAGTTGGTTTGGGTCAGTTCAGTTTTAGTTTTCATGTGTGAAAACCGAAACCGAATTGAACCATCGGTTTATGTTTTTTGTAACCCAAAACCAACTGGTACTAAAGAAAAATTAGCCAACTTAGGATGAATCGGACCGGATTGGTCAATTTAGGTCTTATTATGATCAGCCTTAAAACATACTACCAAAAGAAAGTACAATGCCAAACATAGACTCTAGTAGTAACCGGCTAACCATAGAGAGAAAAAAAGGGAATAGAAAGAACTTGCTATAATATAGGGAGGGAGCATGAGAAAGTGTTACCGTGTGATTAGGGCAAATCCAGACTTCATGGTCCAAAGTATTTATCCGTAATAGATTTATATTGGATTAGATCCGATTGCACCAATACCCAATCCATTGATAGAAAATGATAATACAGGTGTTAATGGACCAGTATTTTTGTTTTTGTTTTCTTGGGTAAAATGCAAAAATCTCCCCTGATATTTCTGATAATTATAAAAACCTTTTCTTTAATTTCACTTTAACAAAAACCTCCCCTAAACTTTCAAAGAACTCAACAAAAACCTTCCTAATGTCACTAATCTAACGGATAACGTTAAACCAAAGCATCAATTTCCAAATACCCATTATACCTTTTTGTTATTTAATTTACATATATTTTTACTGAAATAGCCCAATACACAAGCTTTCTCTTTTCATTTGGTGCTATGCACTATTAATAACTCCCCCCTGACCCCTTTTTCCCCAAATGCTAGTTGCGGGATTTGATTGTGCATCAATGCTGGAACAAACCTGCTAACACACTGAGCGTTGTGATACTTTGAACTATATGAGTGGGGTTTTTATAGCTTGTCAAGATAACACATGAGAGAACACCTCCTAAAATAAAAACATTTTTTTTATAAGTGATTTATTTAAAAGGGATAAATGATCTATGAGGGGTTAAAATATTGTGTTTTTATCAGATTGTCATAGGTATATGTTTCATATATGTAATTTTCAGTTCATTTTGTTCATGAAATACAATATCTAAGTTATATTTAATTCATTTCACTTTTAATATTTGGGGAAAATTTATAATATTGGAAATATATGATACCAAAAGTGTGTTGACCAATCAAAACCCTCCCATAAATTTTGATAAATACAACCTGATTGGTTATTACTTTTATAATACCTGTTAATTGGGTATAAGATTTTCAACTATAACGTATTTTCTGTATCATGATCTAACCTAAAATATAAAATTTTGATCGAACCCTAATATATAATATTTTGCAATGTTTTAAAAAATGACAGATCCGGAACCATTCTGGCCACTGGTTTCTAGATTGATGGTTCGATTGTCCGGAACAAAAAAAAATTAAAATTAATTAAAATAAAAAAAGACCAAAAATCATTGAATGGATCGATAATTCAACCACCCACATTAACGGGTCATTGATCAATTCAACGATTTTTGAGCAAGGACTGAATATGGAATAAAACAGAACTAATTACCTAGGCGGTTTCCAGGTTGAACGGTACGACCATCCAATCAACAGCAGTTCGAAAACTACCATATTTTGATCATTTTTAGTTTAATATATTTATACAGTTCATTATTCAATATGATCTAAAGTTGATTCGAATCCGAGGAATAACATACATTTTGGATCCGTTTGGCTTTATATGGAAAGGACGGGAGATAGAATGGAACAACGGCGTCGCTTCAGGTTTGAACTGAAAAAGAAATACTTCCAAGTCCCAACTTCCACGTCGGAACCTTCTACGGTCTGGTCCACTGGTCGGCAGGTTTGGGGAGTGGGGACGACTATTTATATTTAATTTATTAGAGAAGAGGACTACCGGAGTAGCCACCACCATCACCACCACTTCACCCCTCATATTTAAAGCCTGGGGGATAACTCATAGGTGTCGTCGGTCGAGGGGAGTTGGGTGGTGGCGACACGGGCCCCCCCTTTTCCATCATTTTCATTCCATCCCCACTCCCCACCCACATCTTACTTAACAAGGCAATTTTTAAGACTGGAAGAGATGTTAATAATAGAGAGAGTTATATAAGCGGGGCCACATGATTGCCACCTGGACAATTCCACATGGCATTTCACGTTTGTAACTTGTAAGCAGAGTTAAGTTGACCTAATGCAAAACAGGGAGGTGAGCGACATCCATTTAATTTCAAATCTTCAAAGCCTCAAAAGGGGTTTGGGCGTTTGCCGTTTGCCTTGAAGCAATACAAAGAGTGACATGGATGATCCATTTGACTTTGACTTTTCTTTTTCACAGTCTCTCTCTCTCTGCCTCTCTTTCTTTTACAAACAAATTTGATGTTTGAATCCTCTACTGTTCTACTCGTAATGGTGGGCCAATCATGATATACCACGTCAGCTTCGTACACCTCGTTCTACAAGTCGGGATGACGTGGTGTGTCATGATTGGTCCAGTGTAGCTAAGCCACCAGAGGTCATTCGTGTTAGTCTGCAGAAACAAGTAGGATTTGTTGATACATCATCAATTTCGGATCGCCAGATTCACCACCTTCGTATTATTTTCCGGCCCTAAATTCAACGCTTTCCCTCTTCCCTCCATTCTCTCTCTTTCGCTTTCCCGTGTCTGATGCTCTGATGTCCACACCTCAGCAGCTACACGGAGAGAGAGAGAGAGAGAGAGAGAGAGAGGACACAGAAGATGAGTGACCAGGCAATAACCACCATATATCATTCCATTCAGTTGGTCATCGACAAGATTTCAAATATACAAAAGAAAGACTGAGAGTGAGAAAGAGAAGACAGTTAAACAAAAGAGAAGACCGTGAGCTTTGCGAGGAAGAAAAGAATCTCTGTGCTATTTGTTTTATGGTCTTCCATTTCTACGTCTTCTTTCCTTAAAGGTTCGTTGTTTCACCCAAGACCATTTTTTTTTTGTTCATTTTGTAATTGAACTTGGAAACATTGCCTTTCCTCTTTCTTCAATCACAATTGCTTTGAATGGTTTCCTTTGTTTTCTTTCTCTTGCTTATGTGCTCTGAGTCTTCCAATCTGAGGTATGCATGCCGAGAACGAGTTAATTGTCTCTTTAATTTGATTCGGGAGATCGTTTAATCTGCTAGGCTATCTGGGTCTTTGAAATAACGTCTCTTTACGGTTGAGTTACTCCGATCTGGCTCGAAATTTATAATTTTCTTCTTAAATCCTCTTTGCACTTCAATTCTTGAGTTTGTTTCTTTTTTTTTTTTTTTTCCCTTCATTTCTAGGTTTGCTGTGAGATGCCAATTTCATGACTTTTCTCTTGAGAGACCCATTTCAATACTCTATTACTCTTCACTGTTGTTTTATAATGCTTTCTTTTGAGAGACCCATTTCAAAAACTTGCCTGCTTCCTTGGAAAATTCTCATTTTCATGGTGAATTTCGGGTAGTAATGCATATTTATTCCTTGCTTGAATTTGTACACATGTGCCAGAATCTTCAGAGCTACTTCTTGCAAATGTACTTGGTTCACATCTTCTTGACTTTCAAGTCCCATTCTGTTCTATGTAGTTGGTGAGTTCCTTTGTTCTATATATTTCTTCGAATCTTATGTAGATTCTTAAACATATTTTCCTGTAAAACTATCTTGTGTGTAGCCACATCGTTGTTCGATGCAGCTTTTGTGTAATTTGATTCATCTGTTCATTGGATTCTTAAGGTTTTAAATAGTACGTTTTTCAATTAGTTATCTGCATTCTTTCTTCTACCGGAAGATCATCTATTCCAAGTGATTTAAATTCCTTTTTCTAAGGTCTTGTCTGCTTGTGCAGACACAGGTTTGCAGCTTAACATAACATTCCTAATTTGGTTGAGTTGCAGTTCATCTATAGTGTATCATAGACTGTTTTGCCACTAGAATCCTTTCTAGCTTATGCTGGATTTTTTGATGTTTAAACTTAACCAAAATGCTTAAACTGATAATTCTTATTGTATTACATTCACTGTTTCTTTTTTCTGTTTTTCCAAATATTTTCCTTTTCTTTTATTTTTATCACGCATCTAGCTCCCACAAATTCCCTCTCCTCTGTCAGTTTCACTTTCTTGTACGTTTAACATTTTGATGCTTCATTCATCAAAAATGTTTTTTGGTGGTGATTCAGGGAAGATTATTATGGAGCTCAAATGTCATCATGATTTCAAATTCACCTGTAGTTAGATAAGATCGTTTGGATATCTTCTCTGGATTTCTGTCCCTGGTATGATCACTACAAAGCCTCCATGTAATAATCATATTTTGATGTTCACTTCTTTTAACAGTTTAAGTAGGTAAATTGCTTCCTATAATACTTGATAATGATGATATCTCATATAATTTAGAGATGATAACATATGATGTTGTCAGACTTGAACTGAACATAGAACCATTTTGGCCACTTGGCCATGGGTTGAGCAGTTCAACAATCCAGTTCGACCTAAAACAACAAATATTAGAGATTACAACCTCTATTAAGACATGCATTGGGATAAATTTGATCAAGTCAACCCTAAGACCAGGCAACCTGTAAAAACATGTTTGCTGCCAGTTCCCAGTTCTGATGGTCTGACTGTCCAGTCTTGTCCAAGTCTGACAACACTGAAATGGGCTACTTTGTAAGGTATCAAATAGAGATGATGCCTAATGTAGTTTATAAATTTAAAATGGAGAATTCACAATTTTGTTTATTCTAGAAAATGGCACAAGTTTTGTGATAAGGAGGATCATTTTATAGGTTTTCTGATATGCTTTTATGGTGTTTGCTAACAGATTGAACATGACCAATAGAGCCACTACAAAAGTTCGACTGGTTAGATGTCCCAAATGCTGGGGACTTCTTCCTGAGTTGGCTCCTGTGTATCAATGTGCTGGATGTGGTACTGTTCTGCAAGGTATTATTCTTTAGCATAAAGCACCTCTTTGGTAAGCCCAAGCAACTACAACCTACTGATACAGTAACCTTAGGTATTATGAGAATACGATCTCGGATCTCATACCCACACACTCTTCCTACATCCCTACCCACTGGACACAACAGCCATGCATTTAGAATATCTCCCTTGTCATTCATGGGGAGATGTTCCCAATAAACAGTGGTAGAATCTTATGAGTATGGATGTGAGAAGATTTTGTGGGTAGGAGATCTGAAGTGAGATATTATCTAGGATAGTGACATACTTACAGTGTTCTACACAATTGACAGTGAAAGAGATTATAACTGATAGATAAGAAAATATGAAGTGGAAGTGGCCTATGGAATACAGCAATTGAGGAGGAAATTTAAGTGGCTGGTGCAAGAGATGGAAGTTAAGATTAGTTGGGTTAAAAGATCAGCTAATTCTTTTGCTGATGGATTAGCTAAACAAGGGGTGGAGAGGGAATCAATGTTTTGGGCTCAAATGTAATTTTATTGTTTATCTCTTTTTCTTTTTCTTTTCTTTTCTTGGGGGATCATGTTGTAATTGGAAGATACGAGAGTTTGTCTTCCTCTTTGTAATTGTTCTTATGTTGAATTAATGAATTTGTTATTGATCAAAACAAATTTTTGAGTACAGATCCATGTTTTATCTCTTATAATAGTTGTACACTTGTACTTCGCAATGTTCACATTGGAGACGCATTGAGTCCTATCTATTTTTCCTTGGCTCATCCATCTCAAAATATGGTCAGTATACCTCCTGAATTGGATGGACAATCCATAGTCATTGCCTACCATTGACCCATTATTTCCTTATTCAGTTGCATACTGCAACCAAGGAACCTTGCTTCTTAACTTGTTATTATCAGCTTGATTGTTAATTATCCATTGAACCATCAGATCAGCAGTGCACATACAACATGTATTTTGTCCAAAATACATGCCACTTAATATATATGAAATGCATTTGAAATATGCTACATGTGGAGCATGTTTTAAATGTTGACTGTGGTTCATGTTCCTATGGTTTTAGGTTTAATTTATTTGCTTGCATCTCACCATCATGATGGATCTTGATGTCCATCAAGGGCATCCAACCACATGGTCTAACAGGTGTAGAAGGATATGGACTGACCTACCATTCTCTTACATTTCATAGAGAAGGGTTTGTGTGTTTCTAAATCTCCAATATGTAAAAGCTTGCTGCTATACTTTTGACACACTTTTCTCTGGACTCTGATGACCAGAAGACTGGGTAGAACTCGGTTACTGCAATCCAGTTTAACCAATTTAATTCATACCAAGTATATTAGTTTCATCTTGATATACCTTATTGATAAGATAGTTGATGTGACACTCTTGGCATGGGAGGCACCCTTGCTAGAAGCCAGAAAAATTCTTACTCTGGTGCCACTATGACTTACTATATATATATATATTTTGATAAATAACATCAATTCCATTAAAATAATGAATAGATACAAGAAGATCCCCTTAGAGGCGCGAGGAGCAGCCTCTCCAAACAGCAAATACACAAACTACAACAGAGAAAACATGAATGTTGAAATTAAAACAATAGTTACAANATGAATGTTGAAATTAAAACAATAGTTACAATTGTGCCCAGAACAATGTTTCCCTATTTATCCCTTGTTTTGCCAAGATATCAGCAAAAGCATTAGCTGATCTCCCAACCCATTGTACTGTTATAGACATATTTCTTGTCAGCCATTTGAATTTCTTTAACTCATTTTTGTAATCCCAAGTGACATCCTCTGAATTATTTAACCAGTCCACCACTGTCTTAGAGTCTCCTTCAATCAGAAGCTGCTCCACGCCCACTTCTTTTGCAAGAAGTTTCCTTGTATTGCAGCTAGAAGTTCTACCTGGATAGAGTTCCCAACTCCTAAAGGGCCAGAGTAGATTAAGACAACCTCTCCAGCCTCATTCCTCAGTACACCTCCCATCCCAGAGGGACCTGGGTTACCCTGGCTACTCCCATCAAAATTCAGCTTCAAAGAACCAAGAGGAGGGGGGAGCAAGCTAGTTACTGCCCTTCCCTTGTAGGAGGAACAGCTTGCTACAAACTTCCAATCCTTCCAACAATCAGCAAAAGTAAAATGGTTAAATAATTCTAGAGTCTTTAACCAATGTAAAGACTTGGACAAAATGCAGTCCTTTAAAGTTTGACTGCTTCTTCCTTTTTCTTGGAAGATTCTGGCATTCCTTTCTTCCCATACTGTCCATAACAATGCTGCACGTGAGCATCTCCACATTTTCCTTCCTCTTTTATGGGGCCAAGAGAAGAAAGAAGGGTTAAAGGTTGTGCTTACTTCTGTTGGCATATCCCAACTAGACCCAAACAAAGATAGAAGCCAAGCCTAGAGCTCTACAGTGACACTACAAGATAAAAATAGATGATTACAATCCTCACCATGGGATCTGCAAAGAATGCACCAGTTTGGTGAAATACAAAGGATGGGTCTTCTCTTTTGTAGGTTGTCCATCGTGTTTACTTTACCATGCCACACTTCCCAACCCAACACAAAGCCATAACCTTGGGGGGGACCGGCCTACACCAGACTTCTTTGAAAGGGAAACTCTAATGAGAGGGAGATTAGCAGAGGAACTTGAAAAAAGAACCACAAGAAAAAGACCCTTTGGGGTGAATGGCCCAAATCCTTTTATCAGGTTTCGAGGGATCCAACCAAACCTTATCAAGGAGACATAGAAGAGTAGACAAACACTCAATTTCCTCATTCCTTAATCCTCTATGGAAACCAAAATCCCAAGACAAAGTTGGTAAGGATAAATTTGACGGAAGGAATTTTGAGATCACCTCATTTTTAAAGGGAGATCCCCAACCCAAATGTCCTCCCAAAACCGAATAGAATTACCTGAACAAGCATCATACCTGACACAGCTAAGGATCTGTGGAAGAACTTGTGAATTGCTTTCCAAGGTGTGGCTAGGTTAGCCCTCCTTGATGCACCAGCATCCCAACCACTCTCGGAACATCCATGAATACTCTTCACTACTTCATGCCAGAGTCTATCCCTCTCCAAAGGCCATCTCCACAACCACTTCCCTAACAAAGCTGAGTTCTTTTTAAGCACATTCCTAAGCTCTAATCCTCCCTCCTCTTTGCTTCTACCCACAACCCCCCACTTAATTAAATGGTCTTTTTTACCTTCTCCCGGTTCCCATAGAAAATCTCTCATCAATTTTTCCAACTTCTTTGCTTCCCTAGACGGTATCCTAAAGACAGAGAGATAATAGGTAGGTAGATTCATGAGGGTARCTTTTATSAAAGTGATCCTCCCACCCAAAGAGATATAATTTTTCTTCCAAACAGCTAGTCTCTTTTCTAACTTCTCCAAGACTAGGGTCTAGAACCTACTCTCCCTAGGGTTTGCTCCTAACGGAAGTCCTAAGTAAGACAAAGGTCAGGAGGAAATGGAGCACTCAAGACAGCCTGCAATCGCCTCAACCTCCTCAAAAACTATCTGAGGAGAGGTGTAACCTGACTAATAATGGAGGGGAGGATTTCTTTAATCCTTAAAGACAAGACCTTGGCCAGGATTTTATAAATACTAGTCACCAAACTAATTGGCCTAAAATCTTATTATATTGATGAATCACATCATAGTCTTCACAAGAGCATAATTTAATTTCTTGCTTCTTTCTTGATCTACATATATTATATATCATTTATATTATTCTGAAATCCTTTTGTTTATTATTTAATTTAACATATTCTCTTTTACACAGCAAAAAAGCGCAAAGATGGGAGAGGTGTAACCTCAGAAGCACTGGAACAGAATCTTGTGCAGAAGAATAAACATCAGGATGATCATGAAAATAAAGAATCAACAAGCTTGAGTCAAAAACAAGATCCTCGTGCAGAAGAATGTTCCCCAAGTATGAATAATGGGAAAGAACAAATTGAACATATTGATTGCAATGAGATGTCATCTGGAAGTAGAAACTTTCCAAATGGATTTACCTCTTTAGATAACCTGGATTATTCTGAGTGGGAAGAGACATCGCCAGAAACTAGAGATATTGTGAAAGTCGGTGGAAACTATGGAAGACCCTCTAGTTTTGAAAGCCAATATTCTGACAGTCAGCAGCCTCCTACAGGAGAAAGAAGCTTGACCTTGTCAGTTCAAGAGGCATTAGATGACAGCAATCCTTCGAAGACTGATTCCTCACCTTTAAATGGACAGTTGGAACACTCTCCGAATATTTCTATTCATGCATTTGACCATATGCGCTCAAGAGATACAGTGGAAACTACAGAACCCTTTGACTATGGTGTGATTTCTGAGGAGTTCAGTGGTACACTTAGAGATATTTCAAAATCTCCAACCAGAAGTTCCCATGCTTATGATGGTAGTGTTTCTTCTTATGATGTCTGGGATGACCAGTGCCCTGACCGATCTCCACACTTACCTGAAAGCAATTTGTTTGGAACTAAAAGTTGCTTGGAATTGTTCAGTACCAAAGGCAGGCCTACAAGGGAGGATGTCTTTCTGTATCAAAAAATGAGGAACAATTCAGATGTGCAACATCAAGAGAAGTCCTCCTCAAATGAGATGCATGGACTTGATGTCATGGGCAATTTTAATTGGGATAAAGATGAATTACAAGAACCTGTCAGACATGGTATTGGAGCTCAGGATGATCTAAATCCTCAGGAATCTGAAGGCTTCCATGCACTGCAAAACTGTAGATCAGAGAAAGAAGATGACTTTCTCTCTAGGGACTCCTACAGAAGGAGATCACCTGTTTTTTATGGAAATGGCAGTTCCTCAAATTATGGGCATGAAGCATTTGTACGTAGCTCAAGTTTGTATTCATCTGGCAAACTTGAGTATCTTGATCAAATAGAACTCCTAAGAAAGGTCAATGAACTAATAGATCAGCTCAATAGATCGTACAACCCGAGAGAAAAGTTAAGGGGAAGAGTTATGGCCAGATGCAGCAAGCAGGAAAACCACCAACCCTTGCTTTATTATTATGAAAAACCCGATGCAGAAAGTCTGCAGTTCAATGATGCAAAATATCCTCAGAACCTTCCTGGTCCATATAAGCCAACAAATAGAGGACATAAAAATTATGCATTCCCGCAAATTCCTTTCTCAGGAATGGCTACTCATCGTCAATACCATGTTGACTGTTCCTGTTCACGTTGCTTCCCAGAAGACCGACAATGTCTGACAGAGTTGCCTCCCTCCAGCATGTGTTATAACAAAGGACCATGGGGAGGCCATCATGGTATCAGGTGCTGCAGCCCTTATGGTTCCACTTCTTCTAGCCAACAACAGCATATGGACTCCAATTTCCATTTACACAGTTTTAACACACTGTCCTGCGAGCAGAATCACATGGACCATGAGGTGCAGAAACCATATTACAGGGAGAGACCTCGTTCTGTAAAGCGGCATTGCCGGCCCATTGCAGGTGGAGCCCCATTTATAGTCTGCCACAGTTGCTGGAAACTGCTTCAGATACCTGCAGATTTTCTCCTCTTGAGAAAGAGATACCATCAGTTACAGTGTGGTGCATGTGCAAAGATACTTAAATTTTCACTTTATAAGAGAGGTCCTATCATTCCTTGCACATCTAGCCAGACTGTGCCTTCAACAAATGAAGTAGGTAGTAATCGTGATTCTACCTCTAGGAGGAACTTTACATCTGCATCTCATTCTCATGAATATCCACCAGCAGATCCAGTATCCTATTCTGAAGAGTATGGACTCTCTATCTGTAAAAGTTTTTCAACTGAAGGTGAGCCTGCCTTCATGCCACCTCTATTTCCTGTCCTTCAAGGTAATAGAAGTGTTAAGATGGATCCTTCAAGTAGTTGTCCAGAGCCAATGGAAGAGAGAAAGATGTTAAACTTGAAAGGCTCCAAGAATAAAAATTCAGGGGCATCTACTTATTCAACTCAATCCTCTAATGTAGCTAAAATGGAGAAACTAGCCTTAGAAGCAGAAGTGGTGTCAACAGTTTCACCACTTCATCAGCTTATGGGATATTCTTCACCAAGTGAGATGATTTACAGGACTTCTGCTGTATCAGAAGATTGATGTCTTCAGTCCTAACCAGACAGAGGTTGCAATGTCTCAAAACTGTACAGGAACTAGGAAAGAGGGATTTTCTGAGAATTATATGATACATTCATCAATTGCAGGATCTGGAAAATGGACCATGAAAATTAAGGCATGCCTTCAAAATCTGTTAAAGATGGTTAGTTGTGAATGAAAGAGGTATTCACTCAGTTTATGAAGTCCTGATCAAGCAGGCCCTTTCAATGGATCAGAGCATGCATTTCTCTATTGCTTCTCTCGTTAATTTGTCTGAGGTTCTATAGAGGGGAGACAGTATCCTTTGTTCTTGTTTTTCTTTATTTTCTTCCATTTCTTTTGCAAGCTTGAGAAGATTCTACTCCTTTTCTTTGAAACTGAACTTCATTTCCATGCATGTGTAGATATTCAGACAACATTTACCATTACTTTGCTTTGTTTGTAGTTTAACAGTAAAGTGGCATCTATAAATAAGCTTTATTTGTGTATCAAAGAAGTTTTGGTTGTATTTGATGTTTTTCAAGCAACGATGTTGCAGCAAAGCTACAGATAAGGTGGAACCAATAACTCTTAGAAAACCCATACTCAACCTGCTTGTCTACAAACCCAATTTTAGTGAACTTCACTTGGTAATCCACCTGCAGGAGCCTTTCCTTCACTGGAAGGAGCAAATTTTTTCCCCCGAATTTACTGTATTAAGAGACCAAACAAACAAAGGTTTCAACCCTCGATATAATTAGTATTTTGATTAAGCCTATTTGCTATAGTGTATCTTTTCTACTCCGCTGCAGTTCTGAAAACTGTATGAAGTCAGCAGTGGGTTACCCAAACCTCAAAATCGGGGAACTCTTGTCCAAGGAACCAGAGCTGCACAGTGAACAGCATTAACCATAATTGCTTGGTCATGCTTGTCAATGATATTACGTGTATTTATTGTAATGGTATGAACTAACCACGCCTCTTTTGGGTTTGTAAGTAGAACAGATACTTTTAAGTCATTCAGTTCAGGCATAATTGCCTCTTGTCGTTGTAAGTCCTCGCATCAACGATGCCACTTTCTCTGCCCCCCAAAACTTGACCAGACTAGAAAAACCAGGTGACCTGTTCCGTTTTACTCCAGAATCGTTATTTCTCCCAAAACCGTTGATTTGATCAATAAATCGCTGATCCGGGCGGTTGAACCATTCAACAGTGTGGCCAGTTTTTATTTTTTATTATAAATACATACATAGAATAAACATATTTTAATAGTCTTTATCAAGTGTATGTAGTTATGAAATTTGTGGAAGAATTAATAATAAATTAAATTCATTACATAAAACATTAGACAAAATGAATAATCAAAATTTGATTTACCATTTCAATTTGTTTTAAAAAGATTTGAATCAAAATAGCCCAATATGGGTGGAATGGCGACGAAACTGGGCCATTCCACCGGCGTCCCATGAACACATAATGCAAAACCCAATTTGCCGATATATTACTTCAAACCTCATGGCTAGCTTGGGCTTTAGGAGCTTGTTTACTACTTAGTAGTATCCTTGTTCCAGGTCCAACGTCCAACGTTAGCTTTTAAAAAATTTACTAGTGGGGACTCGTGCGATGCACAGGATTTATTAAGTAAAAGCTAACTAATTGAAAGAGTTATTTACTAAAATACCATTTATAGTTTCATGGATTTACTATTATTTACCCTATAGTTAGCATTTTACTAAAACACCAATCATAATTTGCAATGGATTTAGTCAATCTTTCATTAGATGACAATGGAAAATGACATTGTTGACCATAATGTTCATTTAAATAAATTTAATCAAAAGAAAAGAAAATAAAAACAAAAATACTATTTTTTCCCTTATTAAGACACGGGCAACCACTCTATTGGCTAATATTTGGTCAATTTTGTTTTCTATACAAAAAAAGTGTTAAGGGTATTTTTGGAATATAAAATCATGGGCCTAATGGCAAAACAAACACTCCTTAATGAAAGGTTGATTAAGTAAATAAGTTGTGAAATATATGGAATGTTTTAGTAAAATGAAAACTATAGTGTAAATTTAAGTAAATATGTGAAACTATAAGGCGTGTTCTAGTAAATTACCTTAATAGAAACACATAAGAGTATACAATTGTTTTATATTTTCAACTTTTAGAATAATTAATTGATGGAGGTAGATTTGGCCCGACCCCTTGGCTGTGCGACATGTGGAAGAAACCGGGTGTGACTTGGCAGGAATGCCAGCTCGACACAGTGACATAGCAACAACCATACTCCAAGAAGAGGCCCGAGCTTCCCGAGCTCCTCAAGAAGAGGCCCGAGCTTCCCGAGCTCCCCAAGAAGAGGCCCGAGCTCCCCAAAAGGAACCCACACTTCCCGAGAGGTGAAACCCGAGCTCTCCCTAAGAACCCCGAGGCTAACAAGGAAACCCGCGAGGGGCAAAGCCCAAACTAGCCCACCTCGGGTCAGTCCGGGCCACACCCCAGCACCTAGGGACAGTGGGCCATACTCTCATCCGAACTCAAGACTTCACCTCGTGCACCACTCCGGCACCTCGGCCCCAGGTCGTGCAACTGCAAAAACGTGCTTGACAGGTCCGTACTCTGAGGCAGCACGCCTGACTGGTCAGGATCAGACAGATGATAATCACACTGTAACGGCCACCTACTACCGCCATCTCAGTCGTTGCAGGGACAGCCCTGACAGAGAGGACAGTGGCGGTTATGCCTGCCCCCACAGAGGCGGTTACACCTGACCTGGTAGAAGCTTGGGAGTGAGTGCACCAGGTGGTTATAAAAGACCTTCTTCCCCCAAGAAAAGAGGTATGCGATATTTGTGCTTTCTGATCTTAAAATCCCTTATTCTCCTTGCCTTCTCAAGAGTGTTAACTTGAGCTCCGGAGTATTCCCACCGGGTTCCTCCCTGGAAATCTCTTATTTCTTCCTTGTTTCAGGCATCTTCAGCTCCGTCAGAGGGAAGGTTACCGGCAGCTAAGACCGACCGGATCGTGCATCATCAATTGGCGTCGTCTGTGGGAACGCTTCAAAAAGCCTCCCCCAACCTTTAACTCTCTTCCAAAGAAAACTTAGCATTCATGGCTTCCTCCGGCAGTGACAGACATAATGCCGACCTGAATGCTGTAGGGGAACACCCTCAACCCACCACTGTATGCATCGGACAGTTCACCATCCCCCTCTCGGCGGACGGAATCCCTAGCCTAAATGCGCCACGAACAGTGGCGCCTGTGAATGTTCCCCTTCCCCCCTCTATTGAGACAACCTTCGCTGAACCGACCGTTGTCCCTCTGGCGACCAGCCATAACCAGCTTGATGACTTGATGCAATGCATGCGGGCCATGCAAGCCTAAATGCAACAGTTTCAACAACACCAACTCCATCAGCAGCAAGTACTACACCACATTTCTCAGTACCACTACCAACAGCAGTTCCCCCAATTGCCTCAGAACCAGCCACAACTCCCACCTTGGCACCCTACTGTCAGGCAAGTCAAGCCCTCTCCTTAGGGTGGGTGCCTTCACCGAGGGGAAGCTTCCTAGGCTCAGAACCCCTCCAGAAGCCAGGCCTCATCCCCTGGCAGGAGGGAAAGACTAACTACCCCCGCTTCGCAGCTCGCCGAGGGATCGGGAACCTCCCAGCCAATCAAGTCAGCACCACTTCAGTGCTCTAAGTTTGGGCTCCCACTCGCGGAGAACCAGTTTGGCGCCTGGCCGCAGACTACCACCAGCAGTCCGGGCCCATTGAGCTCGGCAACACCAAAGAAAGCAACGCCAATACCGGACCTTCCAAGCAGCAGCGGAGGCGCCAACGAAGTCGCCGAACTACCACCCACGTCCTGCCCAAGCTTCGAGGTAAAGAAGAAGCAAGCTCAGACGAGGTAAAGGTTGCTCCTATTCTTTCAGTCCCTTCCCCCCTGTCATCAGAACTCCTCGTTGTTCCCATGCCCAAAGATTTCAAACTCCCCACGCTAGACAAATATGATGGGTCCTTCGACCCCAGTGATCATGTTGATGCTTTCCAGTCCCAGATGCACCTGGCGAGGGCCAGCGAGTCCTGCATGTGTGTGGCCTTCACTATCACCTTCTGGGGTCGATAAGAAGCTGGTATAGGAACCTGGCCCCCGGGTCGATAAGAAGCTGGACCCAGTTTGTGCAAGTCTTCACCGCACACTTTGTCACCAGCAAGTGGTGCCCCCGAACCGAGGAGAGCCTCCTCGGGATAGTCCAGAAGGAAGGAGAGACCATCCGGGGCTATATCAAGCAGTTCAACGATGCGTGCTTACAGATACCGCACCTAGACCCCGCAGTACAGCTCGCGGCGGCCAAAAGGGGTGTGGCGCACAAGGAATTCAAATGGCACATGGTGATCAGCCAGCCCACGACCATAGCTGAATTCCTCAAACTCGCGGACAGATTCATAAGAACGGAGGAGATCAACCAAAGAACGGAAGGTGGGTTTGAAAAAAGGAAGAGGGAAGGCGAACCTCCCAACCAAGATGACAGGAGGAAGAAAGACTCAGCTCAGGGGGTGAAGCCGAGCCAGCCGTTCCGAGCTCCCATGGTAGATCGGGCGGACTACACGCCCTTGAACGCGAAGTGGGCTAAGATCCTGATGACAATCAAGGACGCCCCGTACGTGAAGTGGCCACCTTGTCTGAAAGGGAACCCGAATGAGAGGAATAAAAATTTGTACTGCAGCTTTCATAGAGACCACGGTCATAGCACCGAACATTGTAAGAATCTCCGCGACGAGATAGAGGAACTTATCCATCGCGGGTACCTAAGAAATTTATAATAATAATAATAATAATAATAATAATAATAATAATAATAATAATAATAATAATAATAATAATAATAATAATAATAATAATAATAATAA